ACTGGCCATCATTGCCTACTTCTCCCATTGTCTTCTCAACCCTTACATGCTTTTTAACTCTGAAGGAAAATAATTTCTTCAACTCTCTGCCTGACTCCCCATATGCATCTCTTACACAAAGGCCTCCAACAACCTTGAAACAAACTCTCTGGTTTGGTGTGCCATCTTTGTAGGTTCTCCCTAGTTTTCAACTCTTTCAACTTGCTTCATCCCATGCTGCTGCTGGAATAACCTTGTCCTTAAGAGTTACAGTCAGGCGTTAAGCAGTGATTTAGTCCTGAAGTTTGCTATCTCACACCTGAACTTAAGAGACTATGAATTGACTGACAATGATATTAATTGCATGTGTAGAATTCAATTTAAATTTATGTTGGAAATTAAATTCTTGATGACAGCATTGTAAGCCAAACCATTCTTCATACACTGTGCAGGGCTCACTTGGTCTATGGTGGTTTGCTTTGATTATGTACCTCCTAGGATAGAAATTATTTTTGATGACCACTTTGTTAGAAGAGGAACAAATCTCAATTTTGTTGTAAATTGACAGACAATAGTACATTTTGATAGTAGGATAGAATCTGTTTTTATAGATTGAATGATTAATTAATGACAATTTACACAAATTTAAAGTAGCTAAGTTGTTTTAAACCATGCATGGACTCAAAGCAACAAACTTCTGTTATGCTTATAATTCAATGTTTTAACATTATGTTAAATTTCCCCAGGGTTGCAAAAAATAATAAGGATTACCTCAGTGATGTAAGTATCTCTCAACTGAGACAGGTAAATAAAATGAAAGCCCTATTTAGTTTTACCAATTGATAACACTTTTAGTGGTAAGAATAGTGACGAGTTGGTAATTTCAGTTTGAGGCACATCTTAATACACCCGAGTTTACCCTGTAATAATGTGCTTTAATGCTTGAAGTGATTTGAAATCACTTCCCACAAAACCCGCACAAAATCCTACCAGTTCATTTTGTAATTAAGAGTGATGAAAATCAAGATGTCACAGGCTTCAGTAACTCACAAAGGTTACTACTATCTGTGCAGCTTCTTCATTATGTTAGAGCATAACTTATAATAAAGGGGATGCTGACTTTACTGGGTTGGTCCTTCATAGCTCTGTAGAAATTTTCAAGAAAGGCTTCATGTATTAAAAATGCTCATGTATGCTTTTACAAAGAGATCTCTGTTGTTTCTTCTATAAATGTTTCCAAATGTGAGATTGAAATGAGAACAATATGAGAATGGTCTGGTGTAGAAGCATTGGACACTTCCCACCCCCAGGTTATGACTCTGATAGGATGATCTGACTTTCAAACCCACGTTTAGTTATGAATTTAGCCAGTGCTGTGGGATATAGCATGATGCCGTAAAAGAAGCTAAGGCCAGCTTTGTGGCAATGAAGCAACATTAGTCAGTCATATGGCAGCATTAGCAGCCTTGAAAGAAGTCTGTAGTTCATGCAGTATTACTTACTTGCTACAGAGGATAACACGGCACTAGAAAGTAATAATAGAGTATTATTCCTAGTCTTGATGCATAATCATATGCAAATGAACACCATCATGTCAAGTACAACCATGACACATCGCTTCCCTTTTTATCAAAACATTGGTGGCATCATCTTAGCATTGACACATTTCCCCACACGCAATCATTTTCCTTTCATGCAATTGTGCACAATTACCAGTTAAACAATTCACTGAAGTACGACTTTTTATTAACCTCGTTTGACTCTGAGTAAAAGCAACTCAGACGATGTAATGTTCTGAAACTTGAATGATATCTCTAAAGAAAAGAATTAAAATTTATGTTTTGTGTGATTTTTATCAGCTACTTTTTTTCTGTGGCACAAAACAGCAGTTATGATTTATGTTTATTAATAAAAGAGACATAAATCCTTTGTTAACGTTGATATTTTAGCAGCAGACTCAATTCTAGGGTTAATGTGCTGCTGTGTAGTGAAGAGACCCAATGTGGAGCATTGCATTTTACCATTACAAAAAAGACTGCCCTCTCCTGCAAGGTGTTCTGTGGAAACAGAGATAACTGCAGAAGGACATAGAATAAATGATTCACAATAGGATTTTTAAAATATAAAACCATAACTTTTTGCCAGTCTAGATGTTAGGGGGAAGTTGCTAAATATTTCTCTCATTTTATGATCAGACTGATTTGTTTTTTCTAGCGTTTTGTCTCCGTAAAAGGATTCTTGGAATCATGCTGTTCCATTTGGTTTTTTTTGTATAATCAACCCTGACCACATCAATGAGAGCTCTCGCAGTTGTCAACAGTTAGACTGAGATAGTTTAAATATTTTCTAAACGACCTGTTCTGAGATGTAATGACATACCTCTCGAGCAGGTGGGACTTGAACCTGGGTCTTCTGGCTTAGGGGCAGGGACGCCACCACTGTCCTACTGAAATTGTTTATTCAACAGAAGGTAAATTCTATTACACCCAGAATGTACCCAAGTTGGATTTTGCGACTTTGAGGTTTGCTTGATCAATGACCTTGACTTTAATGTTGTTATTCGGCTGGTATTGAAATTGGGCCCACAACTTCATTGCCAAAATCAATGTTGGGTGTCCAAATAAAGGAGGAAACAAGAAAGTAAATGCCTTTAAAGATCCTTTATAAGGAAGTGAAGTTGGGAATTTATAAATTAAATTAATGTGATGGAAAAAATAACATTAAAACCATGATTTATTTCAGTTCATAGTGTTTTTAAATGTTTACCACTGCACCAGATATTTAAATTGCATTTTCATGGGAATATTAATGTTTGTTTTAGTAATGTGATGAAAATTTACAAAAGTAGTGAGCTCAAGAAGTTGCTCAATCATTCACCCAGATTCTACCCATGATGCACTTTCGCATTTTGTGTGGCAATCGAAATGTGAAAGTTTGTACTTCCATGAATCAAGTAGTTTCCTTTTATTTTCTGTCAAAAGTGAAAATAACATACATTGAGAATATTTCCCTTCGCAACCCTGAGATTGCTAAACAATATGTAATACACCTTTTTGATAAATCTTCTCTTGTGAGGCTAACTGTAACTTAAAACTGACAACACATTCATCCTTCAGGTAATAAACAAAAGCTACATTGCATGGAGAGGAGCTGAGCACTCATTTCAGTTTGGCAATGCAAAAACTAACAACGTACAACTGAGAAACAGATTTCAAAGTAAATAAACAGATTGAAATCTTAGCATTTTACAGATTCTTTTGGGTCACTGGGGGAGAGGAACTGTGATGTTTTCTTTAAATTGGAGAAAGTATGAGGTTGAAAATATGAGACATTGGGCTGGATTTCCATGGAATTGGGGAAACTTTGCGAAGGGGTGAAAATGGCAGCCAAGCTCCGATTCTGGGATTTCTGGCCACATATTGAAGTTTTCTGATTTTTGGTGCTGGTTTCAGGGTGCAGGCTGGCGTGGCTCATAATTTCACAGTCTCCATCCTTAACCTGGCTGGTTTCATAGTCGGGACTGCCACCTGCTATGTCCTCTATAACTTTAATGGTGTTGAGTCAACTTTAAAGGATTTGTAGTGCATGGTGCCTTGGAGGTATCGCAAATCATAGTCTGGGTGAGGAAACCTTTGGAAAGGTAAACTAAAATGTTCTTACCAATCCTCGTCATGCCAAACTGTGATCTCCCACGCAGCTCCCATGACCCCTTCATACCCTCCATATCAAGCTATGGCACTTTCATGTCCATTCCTCACTGTATAGAACCAATTGACCCTATAGTGACACTAGCATTTTTTCTTTTTAAAAAAAGTAATTAATTCACTATTTTCTACTTTTCTAAAGTCTAATGGATGTCTTAGCTCTGAGCCAAGAGCACATATCGAGTTCCCGTTATTCTCTTGAGACAGGCTGGCTGAACCGGGAATTTCTATATCCCTGCTACCTACCTTAATGACGAAAATCCAACCACTAATTTGGAATGCTGAAGCTGAGAACTTCGATAAGCATGTAGTTTATCTAAATTTAGGGTTGTTTGTTCAGCTCCCCACACTGTTTATCTTGGTAATTCTTCATAGCTAGTTTCCTCCTATAGTGTTCTTAATGTTCACAGTTCAAATGAAGAAATTGAAATAAGAAACATTGGTGCTCCTTACAGTTCATTCTGACTGAAAGGGACAGGTTTGTCAAGGCACTATTGGCAAACTGTGTTAAGTGTAACTACAAAACTATAATGAATGACATAAATATGAAATCTATTATAATACGTTGTTCATTTCAAAAAAAAAGAATTGCCATGTTCAATAAGTCAAATTTGTGTAGATAATTTTAGAAAATTACCTGTACATAGTGATGATAAAATCTGTTGTGAGATAGGGATAGAGTGAAGGCACATAAATGAAAAAAAATGCAGTGCTACATGCTGAGCTTTCCTACTACACATCAGCTTGGAGACCATTTATAATAAAAAGAGGAACAGTAATGTACCATTTTTTTCAGTTAAATTACATTGCACTGTTTCCACAAATAACAAGCAGTTTTTTTTACTTTTGATTGTTACTGCAAAATATGACTATAAAAGGCCAATTAATAAGTTTATGTATGTTTGTGTTTTAGTAGCAATAACCAGTTAATTGTTTGCTAACATAATATATTGTTGTTCGCTTTGAATGCTAAAACAGAATTGTTGAAAATTTTGTGTAGTTCAATGCTAATATCTTCTTTTCTATAACAGGGACAGACATGGGATCCCCACCTTGTTCAGTGCTGTTGCCCTTTCCCCAGGACTTTTAGCAGCTTCTGACACAAATACGTTCTGATTGCGTTCTGACAATTATCTGCATAAATCTTTCACAGCCTATTAATGCTATCTACTTGCTAAGAAATAGGACATAACGGTTTGAAGCTGTTAATGTGTCTTTTGCTGAAAGTGACACACTCATTCTGAGAAATGTATGGCTGACTTGATTGCAACTGCCCTGGTTTTTGACTGGAATCAGTGATACTTGTTGCCTTTCCCTATGATTTCTTCCTTTTTGAAGAATCTACTCCAGGTCTACCTTTTAAAGTTTTACAAAGGAATGTTTACTAAGAAACCAGCAAATACGACAAGGAAAAAAGAGAGTAATCTAGATAAGAAAGTACAAAAACACCTGCAATCTAATTCGGCACGAAATCAAAAGTTCTCAACAAATCTGAAAACCACTGTCAAAAGAATAGCTAAGTGTCAATCTGCCCATAACTTATCTGTTGAAGACAAGGAAAGAAAAACAGAATATTCACTTTCTCCTACGTTGAGTTACAGAGTGGCTATAGCGAACGGGCTGAAAAAAGATATTAGCTCATCAAATAATGACAACTTGTGTCCAGAGTTGTGGTCTGTTGATAGTGGTACCTCTGAATTATTGAACGAAGTAAGTGTTTCACAGAAAATAAAAGATCATAAGTCGCACACGATGCCAGTAAGGAGAAATAGGAAAAGTGTCAGCAGTTTGGCTGCATCTGATGGAAGCTCAGATGCAGATCGTACGTTACTAAGACTTGGTGCGTTGCGTAAGCTTCGCAAGTGGAAGAAAAGTCAGGAGTGTATTTCCTCAGATACAGAAATGAGCACGTGGAAGAAATCTCTTGGCTTTCGAAGCAAATCCCTGGACAGAACAGGACGTCTGCAGCAAAAGAGTGGACTAGAACCCGCGTTCAGTTCGACTGGTTGCATTAGTCAAACTCATGATGTCATGGAAATGATCTTTAAGGAGCTTCAGGGGATCAGTCAAATAGAAACTGAGTTATGTGAGCTACGCGGACATGTAAATGCCCTGAAAGAGTCCATTGATGAAATTTCCAGTAGCGTGGAAGTGGTGCAAACAGAAATTGAACAATTGCGCTCTGGGTTTGTGCAGTCCAGAAGAGAAACCAGAGATATTCATGATTATATAAGACAAATTAACTATCAAGGAAACAATGTAAGCCTACGATTTATTAACGTACCTGAAGAATTGCATGAAAACACAGAAAACACAATTTATGAAATTATAGAAGAGAAGCTAGGGCTTACAGATGCACGAAAAACTGTTCAGATTGAACTTGTGCACAGATTAGGGCAACAAAGAGACTGTGCCAATGCCAAGCCTCGCCCCATTCTTGTATATTTTGACAGTCCCCAAAACAGAGACTTAATTCTTAAAAAATGTTATAAGTTGAAAGGTTCAGGCATTGGGATTTCTACAGAGATTTTTTATGATCTGAAGGACAGAAAAGAATTTTCACTTCCATCAAAATCCCAGACGTACGAAAGTATGAATATGAAGTTAGCAACCACAGAGGAGGAGCCCAGAGGTGATGGGTTGACATCACCTGAATTGAGTGACAAAGATCAGGAGGAGGACCATAATAGTCACAGTTTTGAATTGAGTTCCAAAGCAGTTTTTGAGAAAGTGTCCATTGCTTCAAAATTAGGTGCAGAATGTCACAACATTGTTAGCATTGACAGAACTGTAGTTTGCAGCTCATATTCAGACTCCACGCAGTTGTGTACTGATGACAGCCTTCACTCATCTCCATTCGAAGAGACCCAGAAACAGCTAGAACCTTACTACAATGAAATGACCCCCTCATGGCTCCAAACCGATTACTCTACAACCAAACTGAGCCGATCAGAATCTGATTTTTCTAAACTCTGCCAGTCAATATCTTACTGTGAAGATTTTACAGACAATCAGTACTTTATCAGAGCTGATGGTGCCTCAGTTGTGTCATCTTCAGAAAAAGACATTTGGTTAAGAGATAAGGAAGAGTCAGCAGCTACCTGGGCTAACAATGTAAGTAATCAGCAGTATGACTATGAAGATCAACATCATATGGAACAAAATGAAGTAGAGAACACAGAGACCGCTGATAGTGGCATGAGCAATGGAATACTGTGTGTTTCTGGTGATAGAAGTCATTACAGTGACTCACAGCTGTCCTTGCAAGGTGACCTTTCACCATGGAAAGAATGGCAACATTTAGAACAAGGCACAGACTCTGGTCTAGACACCTCACAGCATGTCTTTACATCTGAATTAAATAGCCCATCGGAGCAAAATATCTTAGACTATACTACAGACTTTGATGCAAATTACCAGGCTGTTGGCCAAGGATACGAAGAAGAAACATATGAAACAACTCTTGACATGTCAGAATGTTCTGGTTTTGATAGAGAACCTCAAAATCCGTGGGAAAGCACATATGACCCCTATCACGATTCATATTCTAGTGATAATTATCAGTATCAAAATAGATATTCGCTAAGATGTCGTAGTCAGAGTGAACTTCCTAGTGACACTGAATCAATGGAGGTGCCAGCTAAATCCTGGCATAGCCGCCTGAGTATTGACCTCTCGGATACAGGATTCAGCTTCCAAAAATTTGGATCATCACTTCAACGTGCTAAGTCTGCCTTAGAGGTTGTTTGGAATAAAATGGACTCTAGAAGTACCCAAAGTCTGAGTGAAGATGGGAAAAGAGGTAATTTTTTGGGACGGTTCAGGACTTTGTCTCAATCCACAGCAGGTGAATCATGTGCTACCCTTGATTCAGACTTGTACTGTGAACCCTATTATTACAGAGCTGAGGAAGATGAGAACAGTGAGCAAGCAGGGGAAAACGAAATGGATTATGTTGAGGTGATGGAGGAAGTGCTTGCAAAACTGGAAAATAAAACATTTCCCAAATCAAGTGATGAGCAGATGTTATCACCTGAGCCTCTGGAAGAACTTATGGCCCCAGATTTACAAGGAGACAATTATGAGGTCCCTTATGAGACCAGCAATGATGAAGAGATAGAGCCCCCGGCTGTCATCTCAGCAGAACCCAAACGGCATGAACGTCAGGGTGTATCAGAAGAATCTAAAAATCAAACCATCCCGGAGGAATGTCCTGAAGTTCCAAAGAAGGTCAAAATAAGACCCACATTCAAACAAGCTGCTTGCAAAGCATATAGACAACAAGTAGCAGAAATGGAAGAGAGGATTCTTTCTGCAGGTACTTGTGCTAAAACTATAGAAATAATTTAAACGTAACACTTACTAAAGTGCATAGGGGAACCTAACCATAGTCAGAAGTTAAATATAATGTGCAATGTATTGGGCACCTGATGGCAAGACTCAGATTTGAATTCTTCTACTGAGTTTCTGAGTTCAGATACACGGATGTAGGAAAGGAGGATGGCATCAGTCAGGTAGCTTATGTGCACTGCTAACTGGTGTATTCAGCATCCTGCTGGCAGTGAGAGAGAAAAGATTTCCCCACAGACTTGAGACCGCAATTGGTGTTCAGGGTGGGAAGATGTGGGAGAAATATAAACAAAAAAAAGGGGAAGCTTGCTATTAACTGCCCCCTGAAAGCCAAGTTCCCAGAAGTTAGGTTTTAGTCTGAAAATTGAACAAGTATGATAGAAATGAACTCAGATTTTTGTTACTGTCTGAAAACCTGAATCTGTAAGTAGCCGTGTGCTTTTATGTTACAATATTACACAGAAATGGTAACTCCTGTTTATCCCGTAAGCTTTCTTTTACTTTCTGGATTTTCTATCCTTTTTGGATTTGTTGTACTGTGAAAGCGTTTCTGTCATCTCATGTTAATTGTGTGGAATGAACTACCTTTGTAAAAGAAGTAGGTGATAATTGTTACCCTGACAAACACTAACTCTTGATTATTTTCACTTGCATTCAAGACAATTTACAACGTTCATTTACAACACAAGGATTAATAGTTCATCTTTGCTAAAAGTACTCTACTTAGACAAGGAAAGGGTCTTACTGATTTGTACAGCATACACTCTACCGTAATTAGGTTTCAAATAATTAATGATTTGACTATTCTGGTAAAATGTTGAGAGCTCTACATCTCTTTTATTTCGTATGTTGTGTAGGAAATTGTACAATACTTAACTGTTTAAAGACTTGGATACTCAGCACATTAGAACTTAAAATCTGGCTTTGATACAAGTATTTTAATCTGTTTCCGATTCGTAATAACATATTTATTTCTTGTTCCATTCTTTGCTTAGATACAAAAGCACCATTGATCCCTCTGTATCTGTTTGGGTAATGTCAACCATTACTACCTTGGTACTTTGATGAGAAATCTAATGTTGTACACTGTTACTCATATCTAATTTTTCAAAATACCCATCAGTTTAATTGCAATATTAAGTAGAAAGAGGCTGAAAAAAGTATCTTCTTTCTAAAATAATTTATTTGTAAATTGACGTTGTGCTTGAATTACGTTTTACCACTGCTCAAAGTTTCAAAGCAATAACCAGCTAGTGCTGAAAGCTTGAGAAATAGATGGTTTACAGACCAGAATTAACCACTGAGTCTGTGAATACAGAAATTTGTTGTGCAAACTATGTACTTTACGTTCTTACCTTTGCTAGCAATTGCTTAACTGAATATATTTTTTGAGAAGTCCTTTTTTTTAAACAAAGGTTTACATTTAATCAGGGATAA